CCCCCCAAAATTCCCTTTAAAATGATTCCCATATTGCCCTAGTTTCGACAAATTTTGTATTCTGAATCCAGAAGACATTGCTCAGATTTCAGAATTCACGAATCTCGCTAAACTAGGTTAATATGGGTATCAAAATGACGGGAATTTTATAGGGAATCTTTTTTCACGTCGTTAAAGTTTGCAGATGTCGAGTTTCGAAGACTTAGAAGACATTGATTTTTTCAACCAAAAAATTTTTTTTTCGATTTTTGAGGGGTTTCACGACGGTAGATGAAATTGGCATGCAATTCCCGTCATTTTGATACCCATATTAGACTAGTTTCGCAAAATTCGTGAATTCTGAAATCTGAGCAATGTCTTCTGGATTCAGAATACAAAATTTGTCGAAACTAGGGCAATATGGGTATCATTTTAAAGGAAATTTTGTGGGAAATGGGAAAATTGCAGTTTAATTTTTTAAAAATCCCAAATATCGATTTTTTTCAAAATTCAAATTTCCAGGAAACCATCGAAAAACGAGCGGCGACGAATCATCGCAGCAACAACGTCAATTCTACCAGAAACGCAGGTAGATCAAAAAACCACCGTAATCTCCACCCCCCACTATGTCCATTTTCCCTCAGTTTGTCACTAATTTTGCATTTTTTTTTTTGAATAATTTCAATTTTCCCTACCTCGACTAATACCCTTTCAACCTTTCCCAGTGTGTGCTTTTTTATTGATTTTTTTTCAGATTTTTTCGAATTTCCCGCCCTAATTAACCCTTCTAATTAGTGTTAATTGCCCTATTTTCCCCAATTTGTGTACTAATAATCATAATAATAATAAATTTGATAATAATAATAATAACCGGTTTTTTTCTGTTTTCTCTCGCATCACCGTCTAACCGTCACATGTGTCGCTTTGGGAACTTTCTTTGGGTGAAAAACACATTTTTTGAAATTATCGATTTTTTGGAATTTTTCGAAAAAATCAGAAAATCGATTTTCAGCGAAAAGGCGCAGTCCGAAATGGTGAATCGAGCGGAAATCAACCGTCGCCGACAGGAAGAAATCGATAAAAACGAGGGATTAAGCATTCGAGAGGTTTAGACACACAGAGAAAAAATCGATTATCGATTTTTTTTTTGAAATTTCAGATCGGCGAAAGGATGGATAAGCTGTCTGGAGCGTCAAGAAGCGAGACTTGAAGTCGGCTGAGAGGATTTCCGAGTTTAGGTGTGCAAAATTGAAAAAAAATTTTTTTTCGAAAAATCGAAAAATGCAAGTTTGCTCTATTGAGAGACAGTTTATACTCTGAAAATGACAAAGAAACACAAAAAAATTGTGTCAAAAACTGTTTTTTTTCGATTTTGTTTCAAAATTGTCAAAAATGCAAATTCGCTCTATTGAGAAAACCTGTTTTTGTTAATTTTTTCATTTTTCGGAGCATTTTGCGACAATTCAAACACTAAAAATCGATGAAAAACACAGAAAATTAAGGCAAAAGATGTTTTATCGATTTTTTTCCAAAATTTTGAATTTTCGAAGAGTGCAAATTCGCTCTATTGCGAAAAATAGTTTTTGTGTAATTTTTCGTTTTTATGAGCATTTTTCGACAATTTGACAGCTAAAAATCAATAAAAAAGTACAGAAAGTTAGAGCCAAATAAGTTGTTTTTTTCGAAAATTTCAAAATTTTGGAAAATGCAATTTCGCTCTATTGAGAAAATCGATTTTCGACTTTTTTTTGTGTTGTTTTCCTATTTTAGAGCAGTTTTGAACAATTCAAGCGCCAAAAATCAGTAAAAACATTACGAATTAGTCAAAAAAAGTTTTTAAACAGAATTTGAATTTTCGAAAAATGCAAAATCGCTCTAATGAGAAAAATCATTTTTGTGTTATTTTCGATCCCAGAAAGTGACTAAAAATTCAAAAAAATGCAAAAAAAAATTAGTCACAAGAATTTTTAAAAATTCGAAAAATTCAAAATTTCGGAAAATGCAAAATCGCTCTGTTGAGAAAATTGATTTTCGACCTTTTTTTGTTTTTTTTTGTGTAATTTTAGGCTCTAAAAATGAAGGAAAAATACAAAAAAAAATTCAGAAAACTATTTTTTTTTCAAATTTCAAAATTTCGAAAAAGTGTAAATTCGCTCTATTGAGAAAATATCTTATATACTCGATTTTAAGCCATTTTAGCGCGATTTAAGTTCTGAAAAAAATCAATAAAAAATGTTCAGCATGGAACTTGCGAATATCTACTCGAAACTGATTCTTGAAGACGTCATCTACTCGTTCACAGCGGGTTTAGAGCAGAAGCTATTCCGGCAGGCGTTTTATAAGGTTTGAATTCTTAATTTTCAAAAAAAAAATTTTTTTTTCAAAATCTGAAATTTCCAGTCAATCGAATGTCTCCGGTCTGGCGCCAACTCTGCGTCTCCAGACGCTCGTCTAATCCGGGCGGCAACTCAAAAGCTGCTCCTGAACGGAATTGTGTTCTATGAAACCCTGATTTCCAAGTATGAGCAACAATTCCAGCTGACTCTTGCCGATGTGCTGACGTGGCAATCGGGATTTCCGACGGATGAGCAATTGTGCTCCACTGCACTCGATCTACCCGTTGGAATTCAGAAATTCGAGACGGCGACACAGAAAGTACGGGGAATTTTTGATGGATTACTGAGTATCAAAAATCTTTCAGACTGCCATCAAATCTCTCTCCCGACACCTAATCTCACTTGGAGACCTTCATCGATACAAAAGTTTGATCGATGGATCGGAGAATTACGAAATCTCGAAAAGGTAGATTTCATTTTTGATTTTTGCGGATTCTCACGACGTTAGAAAGAATTGGCATAAAATTTGCGTCATTTTGATACCCATATTGTCCTCGTTTCGACAAATTTTGTATTCTGAATCCAGAAGACATTGCTCAGATTTCAGAATTCACGAATTTCGCGAAACTAGTCCAATGTGGGTATCAAAATGACGGGAATTGCATGCCAAATCTTTCTAACGTCGTGAAACCCCTCAAAAATCGAAAACCCGTTATTTTTTTGAAAAAGAAATCAACGTCTTCTAAGTCTTCAAAACTCGAATTCTGCAAATTTTCCCGACGTTAAAAAGATTCCCTATAAAATTCCCGTCATTTTGATACCCATATTGACCTAGTTTAGCAAGATTCGTGAATTCTGAAATCTGAGCAATGTCTTCTGGATTCAGAATTCGTTTTTTTCCAAACTAGGTCAATATGGGTATCAAAATGACGGGAATTTCATGCCTCGTCTTTCTAACGAAACAAAAATCTATGAAAAACACAATTTGGAAAATTTGATTTTCAGAATTTGGCAGACTCTTAAATTTTGATCTTCAGAGATTTTCCCGACGTCAGAATGATTTTCTACGAGTTTTCCGTTAATTTGATACCCATATTGGCCTAGTTTAGACGAAATTTGGATTCTGAATCCAGAAGACATTGCTCAGACTCCAGAATTCACGAATCTCGCTAAACTAGGCCAATATGGGTATCAAAATGACGGGAATTGTGTGCCAAATCTTTCTAACGTCGTGAAAATTTTCGAAAATCGAAAAGAAAAAGCTTATCTTAAAATTCTTAAAATCAAAATTTGAATTTCTGGTTTCCAGGATTTTTGGTGTCGTTAGAAATAATCCTTGTAATTTCCGTCATTTTGATACCCATATCGACCTAGTTTAGCAAGATTCCAGAATTCTGGAGTCTGAGCAATGTCTTCTGGATTCAGAATCCAAAATTTCTCTCAACTAGGCCAATATGGGTATCAAAATGACGGAAATTTCATTTTAAAAGTTTCTAACGTCCTGAAAATAGCGGGAAATCGACAATTTGTTTTTTTTTGAAAAATTGATTTATCGATTTTTCGCGATTTCACTGAAACTAATCAATTTCAGCTACTACCAGAAATCGTCACAATTATGGCCGAGTACAGGACACCCGTACAATCAGCTAGGAATCGTCGTCTACTATTCGGTAATTCTATTTTTTTTATTGATTTATTGATTTTTCTAAATTTCGCAAAAAGGTCAGTTGGGTAAAAGCGAGTCTCTGGTTGCAGATGCTGTACCGTAGTGCACGACGTGCCCGTCTAGTGCCCGTCGACGTGCTGTCTAAACAACGACAGGTTTGGAAAATGCAAATGCGCTCCATTGGAGCGAATCATTTTTTCCCCGTTAACACTTTTTTTTGGATTACTGTATACTCTTTTATCTTTTTTTTCTTACAATTCGGGCTCTGTTTTTACCCTCTGACACATACACGGTGATGGTATTTTATCGATTTTCTCCACAAAAATGTCTCTCTAAAAAGTACTAACCCCCAGCTTGTGTCGCATATTTTGCTGTCTATCTCTCTCAAACTGCACGGATTACGATTTTCACGACGTTAGAAAGATTTGGAACGAAATTTCCGTCATTTTGATACCCATATTGACCTAGTTTAGACAAATTTTGGATTCTGAATCCAGAAGGCGTTGCTCAGATTTTAGAATTTACGAATCTTGCTGAAATAGGTCAATATGGGTATCAAAATAACTGGAATTTTATGACAAATCTCTCTAACGTCGTGAAAAAATAGTGGAAATCAAAATTGCAAAATTCATTTTTCGGAATTTCTTGATAAAATTTTTCAATTTCAATTATCAAAAATTTTCCCGACGTTAGAAAGATTTGGCACGAAATTTCCGTCATTTTGATACCCATATTGACCTAGTTCCGCGAGATTTGTGAATTCTGGAGTCTGAGCAATGCCCACGTCTTCTGGATTCAGAATTTCGAATTTTTCTAAACTATGGCAATATGGATATCATTTTAAAGGAAAATTTCATAGCAAATCTTTCTAACGTCGTGAAAATTTCTAAAAATGAAGTTGAAAATGGAAATCTCGAATTTTTGCAGTTTGATAAATGAGAATTTTGAATTATTTGCTTTGCTTTTTTCACCATTTTATCCCCTAAAAGCCAAAAAAAAAAAGTTTTTCCCCTCAAAAAATCGATTTTCTCATTCCAGAAGCGCGTCATCGACGAATTCTTCTATCTATCTCGTGCTCTAGCGTGTTCCCACCCATACGAAGCGGCCCGGGACCGTCTGAAGCAAAGACTAGATGCGATGAGAACGAAAATCTCAAAATATCAGCCCGTTTTGGACAAGGAGTGCGGAATTGTCAAGGAGCAGGGAAACGCGTTGAGAAAGTTGCAAATGATTCAGCAGGTAAGTCTTCTGAAACTCATTTCCACAAACTTTCACGACGTTAAAAGTGATTCCCTTAAAATTTCCAACAATTTGATACTAATTTCGCCCCGCTAGGACGATTTTTGATTTTTTGACGTCTTCTTACTTCTGAATCCATCAATTTCTGAAAGTAGGGCAATATGGGTATCAAATCGAAGGAAATTGAATAAGAAAGACTTCTAACGTAATGGAAACCCTGGAAAATCGAATCCGAAATAGAAAATTTTAAAGTTAGAATTCCTGAAAAATTAAATTTCTTTGTTTTAAAACTTTAAATCCCGTTTTATTGATTTTTCGTGTCGTTAGAAATGTTTCCCATACAATTTCCAACAATTTGATACTAATTTTGCCTGGATTGGGTGAATTCTGGTTTTCGACGTCTTCTGACTTCTGGATCCATCGATTTTGTAGAACTAGGTCAATATGGGTATTAAATGGAAGGAAATTGAATAACAAACACTTCTAAAGTCGTGAAAATCCATGAAAATTAGTAGAATTTGAGAAAAATAGAAAACAAAATTTCAAAAAAAAATCTGCCCAGATCTGGATTCATCCGACAACCGAATCAACGGAATACGGTACTGGAGAGAAGGTGGTCGACGACGTGCTGTCTCATTTCATGACGCATTCAAAGGCGAAACTTCACCGAAGAGCTGTGTCCTATCTATGCGACACTTTTGGTCTGTTATTTACGAAAATCGGCATGGAACACTTTGAGAATGTGTCTGAGAGAGCGTTCGGGTTACTGTATGCAGCACTGGCAAAGGAGGAAATCGATTTTGAAGCAGATCAGCTGGTGAAATTGGCTGTCATGTTCATTTTTGTGGTTCAAACGAATTTTGAAAAGGGTAAAATTCGTTTCCTGAGCTTTTTCATGGATTTTCACGACGTTAACCTTCTTTTTCTTGTGATTTCCTTTCATTTGATACCGATATTGACCCAGTTCAACAAGATTTTGCATTATGACGTCTTCTAAATTCTGAATCCATCGTATTTTTAGAACTAGGCCAATATGGGTATCAAAATGACGGAAATTGCATTTTAATTCTTTTTAACGCCGTGAAAATTGCGGAAAATTTACATTTTGAAACACAAAATTTCGATATTCGATTTTGAGATTTTTGAATTTCGGAAATATTTTCTTCATCTTCAATTTTCGGAGATTTTCACGGCGTTATAAAACTTCTCCACAAAAATTCCGTCATTTTGATACCCATATTGGCCTATTTCGAACAAATTTTAGATTCTGATTTCAGAAGACATTGCTCAGACTCCAGAATTCACGAATCTCACTAAAATAGGTCAATATGGGTACCAAAATGACGGAAATCGCGTGGCAAATAAAGTTAACGACGTGAAAACTTGAGAAAATTGCGTCTTCAGAAATTAGAAGACGTCAAAAATTTTTTTCCAAATTTTCAGCATCCACTTCATCTGAATCTACTTCCCAAATTCAAATTTCCGCGAACAACCTCTGCACCTATTTCCACATCCTTCTGGAGCACATGCCACGTCATCGGGACCTCATCTTCCCGGCAATCAACGTAATTGCCACGTGGATTCGACACGATGCCACTGAAGAGATTCTGAAGACGTTGGGACATCATCTGGAGACACTGACGTCGTCGATTTTGCCGAACTTCCAGGAATTTCCCGGATTTCCAGAAGATGGAATTCCAGAATTGTCTGAAAATCAAGTGTACCCGGAAGCCGTCCTTCTGGCGAGCTTCTTCAAAATTTTCGACGCCGTCCCGACGGCTGCCACGTCATCTAGAATCGAAAATTTGAATTTGGCGGTTGAGAAATTCAGAATTTTGGAAGCAAAATCAGAAAATTCTGAGGAGAAGACGTCGAAAATTGAGAGGAATTCAGAAGAGCCAAAATCCCGAGAAAAAATGATCGAAGAGGAGCGAGATAAAGGAAAGGGAACGATTTTGGTCAGTTTGGCTTGGCGGGAAATTTGAATTTTTGAAAAAAAAACTTTTTTTTTGGACTTTTCGTTTTCAGATCCACCCAGAATACCTCATTCCGGATACCAATGTCTTTGTTGGAGAACTACAACTTGTTAAGGAGATTCTGGAGATGGCACAAACTGCGAAGAAATTTCAGATTTTGGTGCCAACCATAGGTAATTTGAGTTTTTTGAAAAAAACAAGCGATTTTTATAGATTTTCACGACGTTAACTTTCTTTCCCATGCGATTTCCTTTCATTTGATACCCATATTGACCTAGTTTGGGGATATTCGGAATTCTGACGTCTTCTGAATTTAGAATCCACATTTCTTCGGACTAGGGCACCATGGGTATCAAAATGACGGACATCACGTGAGAAACAAGTTTGACGATGTGAAAATTTAGGAAAATCGCGTTTTTAGAAGTTTGAAAGCGTCAAAAAAATATTTTTTTTTTGATTTTTCAGTGCTCGACGAGCTGCAGAGCATCTCGAAGCTATCTCCAACCGACTCAAAAAGCCAATCTGAGCAACACGACCCTGACCGAATTTCCAAAGCAAAAATGGCTGTAAATTGGATGAAAGAGCAGTCGAAACTGAAGACTCCGAATCTCTACACTCTGACAACCACTGGAAAACGGCTGGCTTCGTTGTTACTAGCCGCTGAGGATTTGAGTGGAATCGGGAAAATGGTAAAGATTGGGATCCAAAAATTTTCCATTTTCAACATCCTTACCGTTTTTAGCTCGTCGAGAGCTTCAAAATGAGTACAATCATGCCACATGTTGGTCGAAATGGGTCCCAC